TGGTGGTAGTAGTAGTAGTTGTAGTAGTAGTGGTGTCGTGGTGCTAGTAGTGGTAGTAGTTTTCGTCTTAGTCATAGTCGTAGTCGGAGCCTCAGTCGTAGTCTTAGTCGTAGTCGTAGTCCTCGTCTTAGTCGTAGTCGTAGTCTTTTGCGTATGCGTTAGCGTCGTAGTGGTAGAGAAGCAGGAGGAGGACTAGGAGGAGGAGGAGGAGGAGGGGCAAGTGATTCTTGGCAGGGTGAGGAGGCCGGGGAGGGCGACGAGGAATAGCAGGAGGATGGGGGAGGAAGGGGGAGAGGAGGGGGAGCAGGAGGAGGATGAGGATGAGGAGGGGGAGGACGAAGAAGAGGATACCAGGCGGATATTGGGAACAAGGGAAGTACTGGGGAGGAGATTGACCAGGCGAAGTAAGGGACATATGCCTCTAACAGCAGGGAGGAGGGATAAAGTGGATGAGGAGGAAGGGGGTGGAAGAGGAAGTGGAAGATGATAAGGAGGAATAGCAGGATGGGCAGGGTGCGCAGGAGGAGCAGAATCAATACGAGGAGGAGGAGAAGGAGGAGAAGGAGAAGGAATAAGAGAAGGTGGAAGAGGAGGAGGGGGAGGAGGCGGAGGAGGAGGAGGAAGAGGAGGAGGAGGAGGAGAAGGAGCAGGAGGAGGAGGAGGAGGAGACGCAGGAGGAGGAGGGGCAGGAGGAGGAGGAGGAAGAGCAGGAGGATGGGTGCTTATTGGAACTGGCTGGCAGGAACGACGAGCTCTGCATCCTATGGGAGAAGTCGAACATCCAAGAGCGCCTCCTGAAGAAGGCAGGGCGAGGGAGAGGACACGGGGGAGGAGCAGGCGGCGTGGCAAGATGAGCAGGAGTGGGCGGACGGGGGGAGAAGCAGGACGAACGGGAGAGGGATGAGCATGATGATATTGCTGATGATGTTGATGATGCTGCTGATGATGCTGATGCGGATGATGATGCTGATGATGATGCTGATGATGATGATGATGATGATGATGATGATGATGACTGCGATGATGATGATGAGACTGCTGATGATGATGAGACTGATGATGCTGATGATGCTGATGATACTGCTGATGATGATGACGATGGTGCTGCTGATGATCATGGTGATGATGATGCTGACGATGATGATGCGGATGCTGATGCTGATGCGGTTGATGATGCTGATGCTGGTGATGAGTTTGATGATGATGATGCTGACACTGATGATTATGATGATGATGCTGCTTGTGCTGCTGATGATGAGGATGATCATGATGCTGATGGTGGTGATGATTCTACTGATGATGATACTGATGATGTTGATGATGATGATGATGACGGCGATGATGCTGATGATGATGCTGATGATGATGATGATGAGGACGATTATGATAATGATGATTGTTATTCTTGTGATGATGCTGCTGCTGATGCTGATGCTGATGCTGATGCTGGTGCTGATGATGATGATGCTGTTGATGCTGATGGTGGTGGTTGTGATGGTGCATATGGATGCGTGATGAATATGATGATGATTATGATGATGCTGATTGATGATAATGATGATGCTGCTGCTGCTGATGATGATGATGATGATTATGCTGATGATTGTGATGATGGTGATGACTATGATGATGCTGATGCTGGTCATGATCATGATGCTGATGGTGATAATGATGCTGATGATGCTGATGATGGTGATGATGGTGATGATGATGCTGATGCTGCTGCTGATGATGATGATGATGCTGTTGATGCTGGTGATGATCATGATGCTGATTCTGATTGTGATGAGGGCGAGGCGGACTCCCCCTCTCTCCTTCTCAATTTGTGTTGTTGTTCCCCCTCTCTCTCTCTGTGTGTGTGTCTTTTTTCCCTCTCCCTCCCTGTCTCTCTCTTTCTCTCCTCCTCTCGGTGCATGCATATGTCCATGTATATGTGTGTATGTATGTGTCTGTGCATGCATGTGTTTTCATTTGTTTTTGCAATCTGGGGGCTGCGGACCCCCGCCCACAGAAATGCGGGACCCCCAGATCCGTGGTCCTGGGCCCAGCGGGAGCCCCGAGCGGCCCCAGACACCCACCAGACGCCCAAAGACGACCCAAAGAACACCTCCAAGAGGTATTGGAAACGCAAGAAACGTAGTTTTTTGGGGGGGTTGGAGGTGGGCGTGGCCGGGGGGGGGCGTGATTTTAGGGATGCTCGGTTCTTCGGTCGTCTGGACCGAGACTGCCCAAGAGGCTTGAAACATCTGCCCAAAACAACCCAAAGGGGATCCCAGACTCCAACAGAGCCACGCCAAGACAGGCCCAACAGGGCCCCAACACGGCCCGAAGAGAGCCCCAGATGGCCCAAGATGGCCCGCTGACGCCCCCCGATTTACTCCAAATCGTGACTTGGACGTTTAGGGAGACCGCGGTTGGAAGCAGGGTGGCCCGAGGAAGCCCCCAGAGGACACCAGAAGGCGCCCAGGAGGCCTCCAGAATGCCTCAAGAGGTCTTCAAAAGTTTTCGTGAGGCCCCCGGGAAGCTCTCCAAGGAAGGAGTAGCCTCCGCAAAAAGAGCTGGGGAGCATGGGGAAGGGTTCGCAGGAGGGCGAGAATGAGAGAAGACGAGGAAACATGAGGGAAGGAGAAGGGAAAGCATTATTGTGACGATGATGCCGAAAAGGCAGCAAACAGGTCTGCCGACCGCCCCCCTGTTCCGTCTCAGGCGAGATCCGGGAAATCCGGCGAAATCCAGCGAATCCAGTGAATTCGGCGACGAATTTCAAACAGGCGCCCTCGCGTTGGATATCCTCAGAAAAACCGGCCGCAGGAGCCTCCCCAACGAGGCTCTCAGAGGCCCTCCTGTTCCGTTTCAGGCGAGGTCCAAGAAATCTGGCGAAATCCAGCGAATCCGGCGAATTTGGTGAATCCGGCGACGAATTCCAAGCCTGCGCCCTCGCGTGGGACATCCTCAGAAAAACCGGCCCTGGAGAGCCTGCCCATGCAACGAGGCTCTCAGAGGCCCTTTTGAGATCCGAGAACTCCGGGAAATCCGGCGAATCTGGCGAATCCGGCGCCGAATTCCGAACCGGCGCCCTCGCGCGGGACGTTCGAACAACCGGCCCGGGGAGCCTCCCCAACGAGGCGCTCGAGGCTCCTGTTCCGTTTCAGGCGAGATCTGGGAAATCCGGAGAAATCCGGCGAATCCGGTGAATCCAGCGAATCCGGCGACGAATTCCAAATCAGCGCCCTTTCGTGCATGGGACATCCTGAGAAAATTGGCCCCCAGAGCCTCCCCAACGAGGCTCTCGAAGGCCCTCCTATTCCGTTTCAGGCGAGATCTGGCGAATCCGGCGAATCTGGTAAATCCGGCGACGAATTCCAAGCCTGCGCCCTCGCGTGGGACATCCTGAGAAAAAACCGGCCCTGGAACCTGCCCAACGAGGCTCTCAGAGGCCCTCCTGTTTTGTTGAAGGCGAGATCAATCCAGGAAATCCGGCGAAATCCGGGGAATCGGGCGAATCTGGAAAATCCGGCGACGAATTTCAAACAGGCGCCCTCGCGTTGGACACATCCTCAGAAAAAACCGGCCCCTGCATGGAGCCTCCCGAACGAGGCTGTTCCGTTTCAGGCGAGATCCAGGAAATTTGGCGACATCCGGCGAATCCGGTGAATCTGGCGAATCTGTTGACGAATCTCAAACAGGCGCCCTCGCGTGGGACATCCTCATGAAAACCGGCCCCAGACACCCCCGATCTCCCCCCACGTATGAAGACTTGATATCAATGGGACAACAATCGAACCAAACATATATTGTTGCGTGATGTACATTTAATTCGTTTTTTGTCAGGGTGCCTCTCCGAGCGTTGCAAGACGGGCTCAGGCAAGACATCTGGGTCTGAGCGTCGCCCTCCAGGACTCCTGATCCTCTGTTGCGGCTCGGACGTTTTGCTATCTACAGGACCATGGTCATCACGATCTATAGACAGTATCGCATTTTGGTTCTCCAACTCCAATGGGGGAGCCACCCAGGGGTATTACACTCTCTTTTTGACCGGACTCGTGGGGGGTTGGCAGTGACTCGGGTCAGCGGTCGGCAGAGTTGGCGAGGGGGCATCTGTTCTTTAGGAGCAATGGTGATAAGCATGGAGTTGACCAATGAATCGCGCTTAACTACCTCAGCCCAGAAGACGGTGATATTTTGAGCTGGGAGGCCCCATCTGGAAGGTTGTCCAGGTCGGTTTCGGCGAAGCCATCTTCGCAATGTTGGGCCCCAAGATGCCGTCTGTGAGGTGGTCCAGGCGAACTCGCCTGAGGCGTCCTTGCAATTGCTTTGAGATGCCACGCGGGAGATGGTCCAGCCCGCTTCGCTTCGGACATGATTGCTACTGCCCTGAAGCGGTCCAGCCCGTTTTGCCGGAGACATCCTCGCAATTGTGGGCTCTGAGATGCCACGCGGGGGGTCCAGCCAGTTCCCCTCAGACATACTCGCAACTTCCTTTGAGCCTGAGGCATCGTCGGAATTGTGGATTCGGAGATACCCTGATCTGAAGTGGTGCAACCAATTTCGCCCGAGATCTCCCCGCCAACTTAGGGCTGAGATATGTCATGTCCTGGCTGTCGCCGATGACCCACTCGACAATTTGGATCTCCTGTCAGACGAGCAGTCGGGGAGACCAGACTCCCCCCTGTTGCGAGTGGTCAACAGGACAATCGGGACCAATTGTCAACCAGGCAAGAGAACAGTAAACCCGCATAGTAAGGCTGGGCAACCTTCCGAAGGGTACCCTTGCATCCTTGCCTCCTCGGTCCATCCTTCGCCGCTTCGCTGGCCGCGCCCCGCTCGAAAAGCTTCGACATGGGCGTCCAATGCCCTTGCACCCTTATCGCGCATCCTTAGCACACGGGTCTATCGAAGGACGAGCAGAAGGAAAAGCAGGAGGTGGAGGAGGAGAGGGAGGAGCAGCAGGAGGAGGAGGAGGAGGAGGAGGAGGAGGAGGAAGAGGAGGAGGAGGAGGAGGAGGAGGAGCAGGAGGAGCAGGAGGAGGAGGAGGCGGAGGAGGAGGAGGAGGAGGAGGAGGAGGAGGAGGCGCGCTGCATGCATGTCCCTCCGCCCACAGAGGGGGCGGTGGGACTTGCCTGCAGCGCGCCTCCTTCTCACGCCACGGCACGTTGCCCGCCGCGTGCGCCCCCTCGGCAGGCCCGGGGGGGGGGGGTGCGCGCAGCGTCGCGCTTTGCCGCCTCGCGCGCCAGTCTGAGGCCGAGGGTTTCCCCTGGGCCCTCGGCGCCTCATGTTTCGGGGGGTATATTTTCTTTCCCGAGGAGGAAAGGTACCCATAGCTCTACCCATCGGCCGTTTTCCCCTGCTTGGGTCTCCTCGGAGGATCTCGTCGCCACCGCTGGATTCGCTCCGAAATTTTGGTCAGAACGCACCCCTGGAAAGGTCCGGGGAGTCGCGGTATCAGTACTTTTTTGGTTTCCCCACCTTTCCCGATCCTTGTTCTTGTCTTGGTCCTCCCCATGTCTCGCTTCCTCCTTATCCTCCTTCCTTCCGCTGCTGATGTGACGGTACAGGCAGCGTTGTGATCTTCAGTTGCTGTGCACGGGCGCACCCCGCATCAGCATCATTTTGCACGATGTTCCAGGCTTTCTGTATTATATATATATATATATATATATATATTTGTATACAGCGCTTCTTTCCGATGCGCCGTCTGGACGCGGCTATCACCCGACCTGACCTTTCCCCGATCCGTTGATTCTTTTCGCTTCGCGGGGGGCACGTCGGGAATGTGCGGGGGCCCGTGGAGAGGGCATTTCGG